CTTCTATTTTATCTTTGGAATTCTACTATTTAGGTCGCTATCTGTTGCTTCCAGCTATTCTTTCCTGACAAATTGTAGCTCTTTTTAGGCTTAAAAAGATATAATCAATGAATTCATCTATGTTATTCCTCTGGGTATAAAGGTCTAGATGTAATAAGTGGTACGCATAGTATAAGATTACATTGTCATTCCTGAACTGCAGCCCCAAGATTAATTGCGCCTTATAGGCCAAAATTTGAAGAGCTGCTGGATGCTGGCGCCTCTGAAAATCTCATACAACCAACACAATAAAACCCCAATATTACTAAATTTCTCAAATGCTTTAAACATGTTCCCTCACCAGCATGAACTGGGAGGATTTGAATATACGTATCTATAATCCGCAACACACAATTTTAGATACAGATAAGGAGAATGATGATGAACGGATCCTTTGCCTGATCATATCTGCCTTTCCTAAAAGAAAAAAAAAAAAAACAAACCCACACCACAGGTTTTACTTGAAAAAGATAATCCATGGATTTTAGCGAGTAACATCACTCAGCATGAAATTTGTCGATATCTGTGGAATAAAAATTATACTCAGGTTATGGGGACATACAGGAATTCCATTTACATTTAAACTTAAGCTCACTGATTGCTCTGCTCGTGTAAAAAATTACTATGCTCTGAATGAAACGAAGATGAGTGCTTAAGCAAACAGTCATAAATTAATTTATAATGAAACATGACAGTCATAATTTAATTTAGAATGTATTTAAGATTGTTGTTCCTATTTGTATAGGTCTTTTTTGCCTAGAGGAAGATGTGGCTTCATAGTGAAATGTCAGCTATTGAAATACCAAACTTCTTATGCGTACATGTGTATTAATTAATTAAAATTATGTAGATACTTTCCTAATGAAGATCTGTTGTCTGCTGAAAGCAGTCAGACAAAAGGCTGCATGACTGAGGCACGTGCAGTATCAGTGGGTCACCAAGAACTTACCGGGAAGCATGAGGGATACTGAGCACAATCTGTACAACCTGTGGGGTCGCGAGGCTGCCGCTCAACTTCCATCCTCAGTGGTGAGGAGCAGGATCGTACCATGAGAGCAAGGAGCGGGGCTGCAGCTTTTGCACTTCTCCTCATCTGCTCTCCGAAGCCGTTGGCCGCCCACGCGCAGCAGAGCGGCTGTCTAGGCCCAATACCGCATCCCTGAAATACCCGCTGGGCAGACGGCTGCTTCTGTTGACGTAGAGCTAAGCATGTCTGCAACGTAGTTCAGGCACCTAGCATCGGAATTGCCCTCTCTGCGTCACTGGCTGCCGTAAGAGCACCCAAAATGACTGTACGCCTAGCCTACACCCCTCATGTTAGGAGGCACCAAGCCTTCTCTAGCTACGCCCCTGCTGCGTTGCTGGCTTTAATATCCAGATGTTAGAGAATTAGGCACAAGATAAACTCCTCCTGCCTGCGGCTCTGTCGTCAGTATGCTGCCCTGTCTGTGGGGCTGGCTCCACGTCCAGCATCCTGCTGACGCCAGCATAGCGGGAAGAGGCGAAGGGCAAGACTGGCGCTTAGAGCATAGGCACGAGCAAGAAACAAGCTCTGCGCTGTGTACTCTTTTATGATGCATATGTATCTCTATAGCTAGACAGTTTATTTTTCACTACGTTTCTTCTAAATCTTTTAGATGTTTCTGACCAACCAATATGAATATATATATATATTTAAAGACCAAAATGCCAACCTTGTGGAATTTTATTTTTGATATTGTAGAGGTTGTTCTTTGTAATTATTTCTAAGCCCTCATGAATCATGCTCTGCCTGCATTGACTCCGCTAATGAAACTGGGGGGGGTTAAAGTATTTCCTCTAAGGTTTTTGCTTTTATCAAATTTGCCTAATACAAATTGTATAGGAGTGGTTTAATTTTAATGCAAGAAATTATTTCTGTAATAGCATCAAGTCACAAAAAGAAGTAACTCGATTCAGTATGTTAACTGAGAAATGGTATGGTAGGGCATTTGAGGGTAGTCAGGGTGTGACGAAAAAAGTCTTAGTAGTTTGTCTTGACATCAGTTAAGAAACCGTGATCCCAAGAACTTGTGATTTCTATTTGGAAAGTAATGTTTAAGAAAAACCAAATTACTGGCCTTGAAGTGCATTATCTATGCTAAAAGTAGGTATTTATGAAAAGTAAAATAAAGAAGAAAGCCCCTCTGTTATGATTAGTTTAATAGGGGACAGCAACAGATGAATTTGCTGTAAACTGTCACAATTAATGTGTTTCACACTGATCAGCAAACAAACTCTTTAAATATGGTTGAGCAGCACATAGGGAGTACTTGGGTAAGTAAGCAAGTGACAGTAATTGGTCCACTAGTAGTTTGCGTCTTCCTCCAACTGGAAAGTTTGTGAAGGGTCCTTTCCACACCCCTCACAGCAACAGTTCCCCTTGGCATACATGGAGCTCTCTTTTACAGCTCTGGAGATGAGAAGGTTGGTTAGACGCTCACATTAATGGATGAGCCAATGCAGCCTTACACTGCTCTCAGGGGGAGACCAGCGGTGGCATTTTAGGTGGGCAGCTCCAGGGCCTTCCTATCCTGGGGACTAAGAAAATCAGCATCACCTGGAAGGGCGGGCAGGAAGCTGGTTTTAAACTTTAAGAGTGCTCAAGGACACACAGCAGCCAGCATTCTGGATGTATCATTTTGTACGCTGAGCTTGGTAGCTGTAATGTGCTAGCCCGTAGTTTGTGTTCTGTATCTACTGATTAAAAGTGAGTTCTTTCACATCAGAGAATGAAACCATCCTTAAAAAATACTCTCCATCACCCACAACAGTTCCTTCCTTTCCAGTTAGCTCATCTTCTCAAATCAGAAGTATAATTAACCATATTATCCTTGAACACAAAAATTATCCTGGTTCCTTTACAGAACTATTTCCAGAGAAGTATCCTGGGGAGGGAAGGGTTGATAAGCTGAACACTGTCCTAGCAAGCGCCTAATTTTTATCTTTCTCTATAAGATTTTACATTCTTGTGTATCAGTACCTTAAAAGCCAGTTTTATAACTCTCATATTCAATACTTACTTATAGTAGAAGCCTTTTCTCATTGGCACTTTCTTGGCTAATAGTGCATCTGGCAAATTACCCCAGTTAAGATTTTCCTAGAACACTACAAAGACAAGCGTATCCCTCAGATATACAGACCAAACTACATTCTCACAACAGCCCCTATTTGGGCTTTACATTTAATTTTTCATATGGACATGCAAATTTTCTGTCTTACAAACTGTGTGAACACTGCCAGCAGAGGCTTGACAACACAACAAAGAGTCTTGCTATTTCATGTTATATTATCTGTTAAGGATATTACGCTGATGGTGTTTTTTGGTTAATTTTCAGTCAGATCAGTAAGAGGATCCAACTCATCATATATTGCACAACGGCTGAAGGACAGGGAGCTGCAGCCACAGACTGTAAGTAACACTTACTGGGCACCAGCACGGTCTTGGGAGGACATGGGGATTTGATTTCATAATCAAGCACCAAGAATATTGGTTAATACAAAAGCAAATTCTCTAGTTCAAAAATCAGTATAGTTAAGTATTTCAGGACTCCACTGCAGATGGCTGTGTGTAGAACCAGTTACTCCACCAAGGATTTCTAGTTTAAATGGATCAAAGGAAGCACTTTGTCACCACTACAGTTAGAAAATTGAGGCATGGAATAATTGGGTAAATTACCAAGGGAGAACATTCAAGTAAAGTCCGTATGGAATTCCCATTTCTGTCCCAGTTTCTGTAGTACATTATTTTCCAGAACAGACTAGAAAAATGTAAAAAAAGTTTAATGACAATTTACAAATATACAATACTTACATTTTTAGGAGTTACAAAAATGGCACATACTACAGAAACCAAAAGCTTCCTCTAACCTTTGGTACATCTCAAAGTTATTTATTTACAAAGAAAAATTACAGTCACTTTTCATAGTGTCACATGTTTACATGTAAGTATTTCTCAGTTGAAAAATATCTTGCAGCTTACCCACAGGCAGTTTTTGCAGTTTGAGCTCTGCACCCATCTATCACATCAAAAATTCTATCAGGCCCTGTTAAGCTGACATGACATTGCATTTTTATGTTTTAACAGCCTTTAGTTTGAAAAATATGAACAACCCGTAAGGCTAAACTGATTCATAGTTGTTGAGATTTCACCTGGTGTGTTTTATATTGCTCACAGTTTGGTAAAATGACATAGGCTACCTTTTTTAATTAGCTCAGTAATCATGTTTAGAAAAAGGTGGTCCCCTTTCGTTAGCTAGGGTGTTTCAAACCCTTCATGAAGGGAATTAAAAAAAAAAAAAAAGATAAAATGTCCTTTCCAGGATGTTTTTTCACTTTATGAAACTCTCGTATTAAATTCTTCCTTCACTATGTACAATTCTTACCTAAGGTAACGGCGCCAAACTGAGCATACTTTCCAAATCCTGTTCATTTCCATTAGTTTTCCAATGTTAGATGTTTTCTAGATTGTACTTTCTTTAAACCAAAACTTAAAAACCTTCTTCTACCTGAGAGCAAACATTAGTATTTCTTAATCTATGTGTACTTGAGACTCCTCTTACAGATTAAAATACTTGCAATAAGAGAAGTATAGCCAAAACACATACAGTCTGGTTTTGACATCTTCTGCTTACATGTGTATACAAATGCTTTCATGCTCTGATGATTTTCAGACTATACAATTTCAACACGTAACAGTACGTGAACTCAATACAATCTTCATTGTACTGAAGGTAGTTTGGGACTACACATTTACAACTGGTAGGTTTTAATTAAGACAGAATACCACCAGAGTATTAGTTATGGTTCAGGTCAGGATTTTTTTAAATGGAGAAATACAAAAAGCTAGCTGTCAGTAGCTGTGAACAGTTTAGAAAGTGTCTTCCAGCATTACAATATTGCCCTCCCAAAAACTTACTCCATAGACAAAATAAACTCAAAATTCAAGCATCTTTAGAGAATGCCTGCATTCTGGATTTTCTTCGTGCAAGAGCTTCTTGTTTTTTTCTTTCAATCTCTTCTTGAGAACATTTTCTATTTTTTTGTTCCACCACAGACACTGTAAATAAAAAAAAACCATGTTATTAGGAGCTTTCAAGTTTGTTCAATATGTATTTTAACTTATCTGCTTTCAATGTTTGAAGATCTATGGCAAGAGCACACTATTCTGACATACCGGGCACCCAAGTTAAAAATGGCTCATCTATCCTGTCCCCAAGGCAGGAAGGGGGGAAAAGATGCATGACCTTTGTAGTGCTACTTTTTACTACCTCCCAATGAAAATACTGGGATGCAGACATTTGCTTCAAGGAAATTTTACTTTGCTGCCCTTCAAGTGAACCTTGTGACATCAGGAGTCAACATAGGAGATGGCGATGGGTTAAGAAAATTAAGGCTATCAGAGTGAAAAGGGCTCTACAATTTAGTGAGTTAGGCAGAGATATGGGCATGGAGATGGTATAGACACAGGGGTCAGATATAGTACAGGTGTCACACAAATAAAACCAGAAAGGTTGAAAAAAGGTCAAAAGCAGCAATAAAAATTGGCAAAGGAGACAAGAACATGATAGCTAAGCGTAATATTTTATATGTTGTGTTACAGAACTATAAATTCCCATACAATAAAATCCTGACCTCAGTGGAACCAACAGGAACATTGCCTGAACATGTCAAGAATTTTCCCAAGTTTATACACTGATTTCCAATTAATGTGTTTTTACTAAGTAGTCTTTCAAACCGGATAAATAAAACAAAGGGTCTTTTTGCTTCTTAAAAAAAACCCCCAGGTGTCCATGAAAAATTACGTATCAGTTTTTGAAAGGATCACTTAATGTCCCTCTTTTTGTTACAGCAACGTCCTTTCACAAAAAAATTTGACAGTTGTTGTTTATCTGTAAAGAAAATCTATGCTATTCTTTTTCATTCCTTTATTCTCTAGAAAATTCCACAGAATGACTAGTCATCTCTCCCCTCCCTTCTCTCTTAACATCCGAAATTGCTGCTTTCCACTTACCTGCTTCTTTGCTGGGGAAGAAACATAGGTAAAATACCGATTCTGTAAATAATGCTGCTGATAGCTTGCAGGATTTTTTTTTTCTGTTTATTTTTGTAACAGTGCTTCCTGTAAATTGTGGTTGGTATAGTACACTCTTAAAGACATGTTTTATCAAAATTAATATTGATTAAAACTTCACCAAACCATGACATCAAGTGAAAATAAGACTGACTGGCATTTGACTGGTTCCACATTTCCCTAGGAAACGCCACCAGTCCATGGAATATTTCAGACTGTTACCTGACAATGGAAAAGTGACTGACCTCCCCTCTAGATGAAAGGAAACATCAGGGTTTAGAGTGATAACACAAGAATATTTCACTGGCAGTTTTGGCCACAGAGCAACCAACAATACAGGCCGAGTTTTCCGAAGCGTCAAATGATTTGAGGTTCCAATTTCCAGGTGTAAAATAATAAAAAGAAATTGGCATTCCATACCACCCGCTGCCGCCTTTCTCTGCTCCGCAATTAACTGGGGTTTTTACAAATCATGGCTGAGATAAGTAATTTTAAATGTTTTTCAAAATGAACTGTAAATTAAAGCACAGATTCACACTACAACATTTACTACATCAAAATACTAGTATTTTTAAGTAATGATTTAAGAATATGGTATGCCGAGTGCTGCCATCAGCCTACACTTGATCCTAGTGATACTGTCTAGAGAGAGAGAGAATGTGAAATACTCAGAGAAGCACAATGAAAATGGGTAACAGAAGTCCTTAACTACAGGAATTCAAGAGATGCGTCAGGACAATTTTATTTTGGAGAAAATAACTTCTAAATTCTCATTACAATGCTTACTAACACCTAAACTGAATGGATGAATATTGAAGCCTATTGTAAGTTGCAATACAGTATAAATTTCTCTGACATTCTGATTATAGTAAAAAACCAAACAGAAACAGTCCCAAGAGGGATACAATAAAGACAAATACCTGATGTAGGCAGTGCAAAAGACTCTGAAAGGTGCCTCTTGAAAGGTGATTTCTTATTGTCAAGCTTGGTGTGCAAATTCACATTCACCTGATTCTTGCTTCCTTCCAAACCCTGCAGAGTAATTCCAATGCCAGAATGACTCCCTGGATTTTCAGACCCTACATGAAGAGCACCCTGAGAACTGTTAGTCTTTCGGAACTTAAACTTTGATGGCATAAGCGATGTTTTGTTACCAGAACTGTTATTTGGCACCTTTCCCGTATTATACAAAAGATCTGGGCTGTCTAATGTTTTGCTACTAAAACTGTTCACTGCATTAACAGGACTTCCTTCAGAACCAGTCTCTCCTACCGGCACAGAATTTGACCTGTACCATTTTCCCAAAATAGTCTTTGTAGTATCTTCAGAAGCAGCCTGATGACAGTTTTTAGACAGTGTGTATTTACACTCCACAGAAGTACCTGAGATCACAGTTAGAGGACTTGAGATGTTTTTACAGTTCACTACGTGACCTGTTGTGGCCAGCTCACGTGTCACGTTTGATGAATTCCTACAGGAATCGTTTAGTGAGAGGGTGTCCTGTCTTGCATTTGTTTTTTGTGCCAAGAGGCGATCAGGTAGTCCTTGTTTAGATGATGGGAAGCTGTTATCAGCATTTGATCTGAAATTAATACTGGCTCCTTGTATAGTTTTGGCTCTTTCATTTCCATGTTTAACATCCTGGCTCTGAGTCTGCTTTTCTATATCATCACACACCTGATACAACAATTCATCATCCTCACAGTTTGCATCCCAAAGACTATCAGATTCACAAAACATATCTAGTATCTCATCAGAGAATTTCGGTTCATTCCAGTCGTCAAATGACAGAGGACATTTCTTTGGTATTTCTACTTGATTTAAGTGACCTTGGTTAACCACTTTAGTTAGATCCTTAGGTTTCGTATTGGTAGGAACACTGGATGATTGACAGAAAATACTGTGAGTGTTATTCCCAGGTTTTTCAGTCCGTTGTCTATGAAGATTAGATCTTGAAGGAAAAAGAGGAAGAGGATCGCTTTTAGGCTGAGTAGTTTCATTTCCATTCTTAACTTGAAATTGCTTTGAAACAGGAATATATTTCAAATCACTGGTTTGAGCACTTTTCCAAATAGACTTTATGTTATCTGGCTTAACATCACATTTGCCATGAAAGGCTGTGGTCTCTGTCTTTGAGTTTTCTGCCATCTTACATGACTTTTGTAAAGAAAGAGATTTTGCAACATTTTGTGCGTTTTTACTAGAATGTTTCAAAGGTGAAAATTGCAAACTGTTAGGTTTGTGTACACTCCCCAACAAAGTTACTGAATTGCAACTACTTCTCTCCTTTGTTCTGCTAGCATCACTGAAACCATGCATAGAAGGATTTGTAGGAATTGGTGGTGCTTCTTCAGTACTTATCAATTCAGGATTTTGGGTTATTTGCATCACAAAAGAGTCATCTGCCAAAAAATCTGTATCCCAGTCATCAAAATCATCATTAACTACTCCAGCAAGCTTATCGGAGACCACCAATTGTGTCTTCAAAGGACAAGGATTTTTTTTCGTCAACGTGTGAGTATCAGGTTTTGGAAAACTCTGGTTCACGCTTCCTGGTGCGCACGGAGTATCTTTTTGATATGCCTCTGAATTACCATGTTGCATGTCTTTAATTTGCTCAGTAAGATGTTCCTCTTCCAAGGTGCTTTTATTTTCACAGAAACTATTATTCAAAGAAATACCTGATAGTCCTTGGCTCAACTGTCCACTACACTTCTGGGTAGAGCTGTCAAAAAGAGCATGAAGGGCTATTTCAGCCTCAAGGTCTATAGACTTTTGACTGCTAGATTGACAGGGCTCTGCAGCAGGGATGCCAGTGCTCTGTCCAACTGGTTTCAGGGACAGAGCAGTATCTCTTTCGGGAACTTCACCAAGGAATGATTTCAGGTTCTTCATATTTACTTCATCATTAGAATTATTTAAAGACTCTGAGGCAATCTGGATGGAGTCATGACCAAGCTTCTCTTGTTCCTGAACAGCATCTAGCTCTACTAGATTTTTATCAAATTCCTTAGCCAATTTCATGAGTTCCTCTTCAGGATTTTTTATTTTAAGTTCTCTAGATTATAAAAAAATACAGAAGAGAAAGTCAGACCTACTGAGAAAGTTTAGCCAAGCTCAATAACACGACCACATGAGATGTTCATTCTCTAGTTTAACAACTACAGAGAATATGACTGAATCCCACTGCTTTCAATGTGCAGTCAGCATGCAATCTTTTTGATAAATCTCAATAAACACCCCATTAAGAAGAGATAACATACCCGAAGTTAAAAGCATTCAGTATGCTTATGTACAGTTACATGGCTCACTGTACATAAATGAATACCACATACCCTTTTCCGCAAAAGCCCAGCTGTTATGAGCAAGACAAAACTGTAACTTACCTTGTACAACTTAACTTTGTCCTAGCTCGCACTTTTACTACTCCAGGTGTACAGGGAATAGCATCCTTACCAATCCACGTCCCTAAAAGGGAGCCTTCGTTACAGGCTGCTTTTTCATCCTGAATGATTAGATTTATAATGTTTAGCAATTTGATTTCAGATAAAGATTGGACTAGACACACACCTTGCATTAGTTAAAAGTTGCTAAACCAATTAAACTGGATCGAATCTGCTGAAAGCCACAGATAGGATCTAAATGAACATAAGCTAAGTGAGATTACCGCGACATTGTCTACTGATAGTTGTATCACTTAATTATATTAGTTTAAAACAGGAATGTCAATTAAAATAACTGAATTTTACTTTGGCGCTCAACTCTAATACTTTCTTTAATTCAGGTTTACACGTAATCTGCAATATTGACGTTACAAGCTGTGATGTAGTTTACTTTAGCGTACTGCTAAGGAGCTGGTTGAGGTGCACTGTCTTCATCCAGTTAAAGCAGCATTAACAGATCAGAGAACTTGAAAGAATGTATGCATTCTGTATGCGTCTAGGAAAAAATTCTGACTTCTTCCATTACAACTCATTTATACAAGGAGCCTTCAAACAGAAGTAAGTGAAGTCGAGAAACTAAATGAACTTCTTTCAGAGCTTCAACGTTTAGGCTTGGATTTAAATTCTGAAATCTAAGAGATATAATACTGCACTGGTAAAATGTGTAGAGGGCCAGAGCCAAATGTTGGATATGAGAAATTACTGCGTGTAAGCCAGCAAAAGTAATTTGAACTTCGCTAAAAGGGTAGGGAGTTTTGGGAGGTTTTTTGTTTTGGTTTTTTTTAGAAAAAAAAGAACACAAGCAACAGAAAGTTGCAAATCTAGTCTGATATTATTTCATGACAGAGCTGTAATCATTTAAAAGGTAGAAAGTGGCATCCCTTATCAATGGTTTTCCAGTTCTCAAGTATAATTTTTTGCAAATATGCCAAACAGTGAATACATTTTATATGGCCCTGTCAAATAAGCAAGCATAATTTGCAAGCTAAATACTACAGAACTGTTTTAGGAATAATAGGTCCTCTTCTTGCACTTAATAAAAGACGAACAATAAGCCAACACTATATTATTCTCACTTTCCAGGCTGTGGACACCAGGTTTACAGCAAGAGAGAGAGAGACACCAAGAGCATGGATCTTACAATAAAAAGGCAAATTATTTAGAATCAGGAAGCAACATTACTGTTTATATTATTGTGGGGTGTCTCTCTCTCTCTCTCATCTGAGTCCTGTTCTTTTACTTCAACAGTCATTCAAGATAATGCTTAAAAACAACTGCCAAGTAAGTCCAGTATGTGAAGAAACTCTTACCTTTTAGCAAATGAGTGATTAAGGATAAATAAACACAACAGTATTCGTAAGACCAGGGGCAATAACTTGTATTCTGAAAGTAAAACTTTGTAAAATGGAGCTGCTGCAAGTCCACTTTCTTAATACATCTTTTTTTACAGCATCTGTGACTCATAAGAGCAACCAGTCAAAATGCTATGCTTAGGATTTTAATTCAATCCAGTTTTATGAACATTTTACTAGTTTTATGCACTCCTAATTCTTACCATGTTGAAGAGACTACTGTAACTAACATTAAGCCTTCACTAAACTAAATATTCTAGCACTATTCTGTTTGATTACTGCATATATAGACCACGGAAAATAACAATTACCTGAGGAGCAATACGATTAACAATTTCTGAAATTTCTACTGCGCATCTACTGGTAGACTGTTTGGTTTTTCCATTGCCTATAAAAACAAACAAAGAACCTTCTTAAAAACTGCAAAACGGTTCCATTTATAAAGTGCAGTATATCTCAAATAATCCAAATATATGTGCTAAAATCAAAACTTGATTCAGCACTATATTGAAGAATTTATGGGTTTTTAAGAAAAATAAAACCAAACAACCTAACCATGATAACAGAAAGGGACTTTTTTCCCACAACATTTGATAACGTTTAGTACGTTCCCACTACACACCTCAAATAGGTGCCCTGAAGTCTGGATTTCATTAGTATTACCTAGTCTGTATGCAATTGGTGAGTGAGGATCCCAAAAGATTTCTTGCTGTATCTCTGTGTCATTAACAGGAGAGCTGAAAGTAGGTAGTCGGGATTTCCTACTCAGTGATCTCTTTGGTGTTTTATGTAAGCATGACTCTGTGTAAACACAAAGATGATCCTTAATAAAAAACAACACATAAAAGGCCAAAATAACTTAGAACATACAACAGGACAAGGCATAAAGAAGATGCTTTAGGAACTTTTAAGAATAAAAATCAAGTTCACACTCATCAGCATGCTTACAACAGGAATATTGTTCACAACTATACATTTAAGGCAGAATGCGACTCTAGCTTGTTCAGTTACATCACCACGGAGATAACAGAGCATTACATGATACTGACAGCTATATGCTCAGCATCTGATGGTAACGATGAGAATTGTCAATCCTCCTGCTTGAGGGAATACTGACTTCGACTTACATTAAGAGAAAAAATATGTATACCTGTATGGGAGAATATTTTTTATTGTGGCTTGCTCTGTGTCTTTCAGACTCTGATTTAAGTCCTAACTTTAATGGGCCCCCAAACTGTTCTGGGTCACAACCTACTTCTGTCTGTACTTCCCTCCACTGGGCCTTGTCGGCTAGGGCTGTTAAAAGCAGGAATATAGCTATTCACAACCAGCTTGCAGCTGTCTCGCATCAGTAAGTGAACCAAACATGCCACGTGAAGCTCAACTAGTCACCCCCTGCCCTTTAGAAATGACGTTGCAGATGTGGAAGCCTACAGAAGTACTTTTAAAAGATGCAATCACTATGTGAGAAGCATCTTAGGAGATGCTTTGCACTGAAGCACTGAGCACGGCCAGGCTTTATCCTCTCCTCCGGTGGATTAGCGTCCACAGCGAGTTCTAAGCATCTGCCGCGGGAAGATGCTCTTCGTCACTCCTTGACAGGAGGAGCCCCTTCCCAACGCGCACGGACGGGGCAGAGCGGGGGAGGGCTGCGCCGCACCGGCCCTCTCCTCAGAGGC